GAGGAGGAGGAGGACGGGGCTGAAGAGACGGGGGTCAACGCAAACGTAGGTCAGCCAGGGCGCCAGATCTTGCAGGATCCGGCAGGGCCAGGGTCGCATTGACCCGAGTTTGGGCGCAGGAGTTTGCAGGATCCTGCAGGATCTTGCAAGGCCTGACTGACCCGGGTCTGGATTGACCCAGGTCAGAAGATCCCCGAGGAGGAGGAGAAGGTGGAGGAGGAGGGGGAGGCTCTTTAGGGGGTTGCTCCCTGGGACCCCTCATGAGCCGGGCCAACTTTTTCCCCTTCCGTCCTTCCCGTTCTTCGCTTCCGCTACCCTCGCCACTTCTCTCCCCTCCTCCGTGGTTGGTCCCACGCCTGATGTCCCTACATAATTGTAGTGGCGCGTCGGCTGAGCCCAGCTTGATCAGGCGCACCCGTCAAGCAGTGGCGAAGCGTCCTGGCTCGCCTATAGTCCTACCAAACAATGTTCTAAGAACCTTTTGCGGGTCCAGCGAAATGTTCTTAGAACTTTTCTGGCGGAGCCTGTCTTGTTCTGTCGGATTTATGTTCTAAGAGCATTTTTTGTTCTTAGAACATGTTTGGGTTCTAAGAGCACTCCGTGGTAGGACTACAGGAATGCCAGGACGGTCGGTCCCTGCTCAAATCCGAGGCCCGCGGATTCCGCGAGGTTCGCGTGGAGGAGGAGGGGGACGAGGAGTTCTCCAGCTCTCCCCTGGCATCGGGTTGTGCTCTTCTCTTCCCCGACGGGAGGGAGGAGGAGGGAGAGGGGGGAACGACACGGGCTTTCGTTTTGTCTCGGGGGGGGGCTCCAGAGGCTCCCCTGACATCCGCGCATTACGAAAACGATTACGACAGAAGGTGTTCGACCGCTTTCGCCCTTTGGTTGTCCTGACTGGGCCCCGCGACCGTCAAACGTTTGCGGCGCCGAAATGTGTATTCATTATCGGTTACTTGTGGGAATTTCCAAACGTTGCTAGTGCTGGGCTTCTTTCGGGAATTGTGGCATTGCCCGCGTCGGGAATTCGGGCTATCCCGCCGTAGTGACAAATATAATCGTCTTTCATAGCACTCTATCATTTCCACTACGGCCTCCCAGGAGTTGTCTCTTAGCGCCGACTCATCCAGGACGACAGATGTTCTTATTAAGGTGCGAGCCGCGATGATCGGTGGGCTTGAGAGCGTCAGCGCCGCCAAACGCGCGGTGTTTGGATTGACTGTCGGCATCTGCTCTGCGGGACAGATGTGGAAGTGTTCATGGTGGGCCAGATCTTTAAGTTGGGGGGCGGATGGGAGTGAGCGAGACCGCGAAGGTCCCACCGTGACAAGTTGATGACCAACCCCATTCCCTCTCATCCGTCGCATCGTAATGCGGGTGGGGTCTAGGAAAATGGCCCGCCCCCCAAACGAATATAATGTTTTAACTTGACACAGGATTGAAACATCTGATCGTGCGACACATCGGAGAGACAATAATACGTCCAGGCAGCACAGGTTGAGATCCACGGAGATGGGAAACCACAGCCCCACATACATAAGTCAGAACCGGATCTGAACCCCCGCATCCTAGAATGCGATCGTGTTTGATTTTCCATGCACAGATTCATACGTTTCGATGCCATTCTTGTCGGTGACATTCCCAGGTCTAAGGGGAAGCAGCTGTCGCCCTGGGGATGTAATTTGGGGCCTCAGATCTGGTCGCCGCGAAGAAGAAGAAGCAAGCACAGCGCGCCCGTCGTCCACGTGTTTTCGGTCCTGTGGGGCCAGGCTTCGGCCGTGCTTTCGCCCCTCCCTCCTCCCATCACCTCGTCCGTCCCCCCTTGCCTCTACTCCCCCCCCCCCTTTCTCTGCCCCCCTCCTCCCTGCTTCTCGTCCTCCCTGCCCTCCCAACCTCATCCCCTTCTCCGTCACTTCCCCCTGCTCTCCTCCAAGAAGAGCCACAGCCTCTTCCCACCCACTGGCCCGTGCCTTTCTGGCCACAGCGTCGGAGTAACCGGGCAGGATAGCGATCTGGCGGTTGGGAGAGTAAGGGCAGATGTTTCTAGTCCACCTCGCTCTCGGCGAACGTTGGCTTGACTTTCGTTGTTGTGCTGTCGTAACCGAACCCTGATCCCCCACCCCTGTCCCTCATTCTTCCATCCTTCCCCCCCTTGCTCATTCTGTCCCCCCCTCCCCGAAGGTTCTGAACGCCTTCCTGGATTCCTTCACCTACGTGCACAAGCTCAGCTTCCAATCAGAGGTCCAGGGGATGGAGGCCACTGATCGCCAAGATACCCGCTCCATGCTCATCCGCGTCATCACCATCGTTCGAATCCACCCCCCATCTCTTCTATTCCTCCCTCTTCCACCCTGTCCGTGCCTTCTCCCCCTGTGCTCTCCCAACCCCGCTCCATCCCTCCATCCCTCTTCCTTCTCCTGCCTTCGTCTCTCTCTCTCTCTCTCTCTCTCTCCCTCTCTCTCCCTCTCCCTCGCTCCTCTATCCGTTCACCCTCCCTCATCGGCCCTCCCTCTCCCTCCGCAGCTCCCCAGCTCCGATAACGCACAGCACGATGGTTTGTTGCAGTTTCAGGCCCGCTACGACACGCGTTCGCCTCCTCCTCCTCCTCCTCCTCCTCCTCCTCCGCCTCCTCCTCCTCCTCCTCCTCCTCCAGAGATAGCGCAATGGAAAGGGTTGGGGGGAGGGGTAGGACGTCTGACATGGCGCAAGTGCCCATAGCTTGACATGAGTACTACTCTCCCCTCTCCCTGGATCCTGCCCGCTCGGAGCCTGTGCTCTGTCGCAGAGGTATATGGTTCCAACATGTGTGAGGGTCACTCTAGCTTGTTCGATCGAGTCGGCTCGAGCGTTTCGAGATGGTGCTCCTGCTGACGCGGCGGCTTCGTTTTCAGATCGACGCGTTGCTCCCGTCGGCCACAACGGCATGCCCGCCCCACCGCGGGCCGCAGCTCTGGGTCCGAGTCGACCACTGCCGCCCCCGGGGAGAGGGGCCAGCCAGGATGTCCGGCCGCCCGGGGGCCTCTGAGGCCCTCCCAGGTTTCCAGAGGGAGGAGGAGGAGGAGGAGGACGAGGAGGAGGAGGAGGAGAAGGAGGAGGAGGAGCAGGAGGAGGAGGAGGGTCCCATCCGGCGCCTGCCGTTGATCCTCCTGCTCCTCTCGGGGGCCCCCAAACGGGGTGCTGACCACGCCGCGCGGTGAGTCGGTGGGGCTTCGGGGTCACCGCACGGTTTTGGGGCTCGGGTCGCTCTCCGAGGACGTCTCGGGCGACGGGAGCCTCCGGGGTCCCAAAGACCGTGCGGTGGCGGACCGTGCGGTGAGGTCTTGGGGGATCTCGAGGTCACCGCACGGTCCGCCGTCACCGCACCGTTTCGGGACTCCAAATCCTCGCATTCCTACACCTCCTGCTCTTGCTGCTGCTGTTCCTCCCCGCCGTCATCCATCCTCATCCAAAGCCCCTTTTCTTTACCAAAAACTTGTCCCTGTCGCACCCTGCGGATTGCCGCCTAGGGCGGGCCAGGCGCTTCGCCTGAAACATCCTCCAAACGTGCGATCTTGAAGCTTAATGTCCGAACAGCTTCAAGGAGCATGGGCGGCTCCCGCTCAAAATCTGGCGCTCGCTTTCGCGCCGCGCGCATCCCCCTTGCAAAAGTCTGCGGGAGCTTCGAGCATGGACGGCGGGTCCTCTTTCGGGGCACCGGGTCTCGCCGTGGAGCGCCGCGCTCAAGCTCTGGGTCTCGCCGTGGAGCGCCGCGCTCAAGCTCAGATTGACAAGTTCGAGGCAGCTTCGCGGGTGGAGGGCGGGTCTCCTCAAGGATGCGTCTGCCGCGTCAGCGCCGCGCAGAGGGTCTCCTCAGAGGGTGGAGGGCGGGTCTCCTCAGAGGGTCTCCGCAGAGGGTCTCCTCAGAGGGTGGAGGGCGGGTCTCCTCAGAGGGTGGAGGGTCTCCTCAGAGGGTGGAGGGCGGGTCTCCTCAAAGATGCTTTCTGTCTTGTCAAAGGCTGCAGAGGGTGTCAAAGGGGTCCAGAGGGTGGAGGTCCCGGGAATGGTGTTCTGGCACGGCTCGGGGCCCTCAGGACGAAACGGTCATTTTGATCCGTGGTGCTGAAGTCCCAGGTATGGTGTCGTTGCGCGAGTTCGGAGCGCCAGTACGCACCAGTCACGTTGACTCGTGGGCGTGAAGGTCCCAGGAGTGATGTCTTGGCACGATTGAGGGTTTGCAGACGGTAGTTGTTTCAATGGGGCTTTCTCCAGCAATCAGACAGTAGTTCTTGCAGGGACGTCTGAAGAGGAACTTTGGAAGGTGTAGTGGAACATTGTTGATGCGCTTTGGGTTTGCACTGATCCTTGTCCTCACAGTTGGGTCCTCTTCGAGGAGGGTCTCGGGTCCGCTACGATACCCGTCGGCGGATAGAGACAACTCAGCGCCAGCGAAAGGGATTTGGTGGGAAGGGTAGACGTCAGATGTGGCTTCAGCGCGCCAGGCTTGCCCCCCAGGGCTGGACCTGAACGGTGGTTTTGGCGATTTCGTGGGCCGTTTGCGTTTCGATTTCGTTTTGCGGTAAAGGCGGATTCGAGAGACAAGCAAGGAACACCGACAACCAAACGAAAAAGAAAAACGCCGTTGAGGTTCAGCCCTGTTGCCCCCTCTCCCTGTCACCTCCTCCCTCCGTTTCACGTCACACCCGCCCTCCCCCGTCCTGTGTTCACCGAGCGCGTTCCACCACTTGCAGGGTGCCTACTCGCAATCGTCAGAAACAAAAACACATGTCGGCTTGGATGTAATGTATCGTAGATCCCCCGCGGGGGATCCAGGCCATGTGCGAGTAGTTACTTTGTGAGTAGTGGAACGCGCTCGTCTATGTGTTCAGTTCCTTCTCCTTCCTTGTTTACCTCTCAGTCCGAGTCTCTCCTCCTCCTCCTCCTCCTCCTCATCGTCATCATCATCATCATCATCATCATCATCATCATCATCATCATCATCCCTGAAGCCCCTGGGCTCTTGCGCGGGAGCAGGGGAAAGAGAAGGGGGAAAGAGGAGAGAGAGAGGACGACGAGGAAGAGAAGGAGGAGGAGAAGAAGGAGGAGGAGGAGAAGGAGGATTGACAGGGGGTGTAAGATTGTGCCGAGCGGGGTGACTGGGTAACGCCAGGTTTGGTTCTGCCAACGACCATTATCCAAGACCTTCTCCAGCGGGTTTTGCAGGGGCAAGACGAGTGGGAGGGGGGGGGGGGGCATGCTGCGCACGGAACGAGTTCCGTGAAAACACCCGTGACTGATGTTGTTGGCCATGGTGAGGCGGCCATGATGCCCACCTCACGGACCGCGGCGGTGCGGGCCCGGCCGCGAAGCGCCTTGATACAGAGGTAAGATGTGAAGGCCATGGCGGGCCCTTCTCTCCAGCAAGAGCCCTCCTAATGTTAAGTCGGGCGTGCCCCTCTACAGGAGGAATGTTCAAAGATAGTCAAAAATAGTCTGTGGGACGTTTTTGTTTGACTGTTCGTGGGCATGTTTTAGAGTATCTTGACACCTGTCGCCCACAACCCGCCTGCAGGGGGGCATGCCCGACCTGATCCCAGTGGTCTTCCACTGAGCGCGAGGTGCCTGTCATGCCCCCTCCCCTCACGTGCCCACGCAGTCCCGCCCACGGGGGCCCCGCACCCCCCAAGCTAGGAGGGGAAAAAACCACACAATGAGTCGGCGATTCCCCAGAAGAAGTGGGGAAACATCGGAAGTGGGGGGGAAGATAAAAAACACAGAAAATATAGGGAAATAGGAGTCCTGTCATTTGTGTCTATTGTGTTCCAGGGCCCCTTCACCAAGGCCGGCGAGTTCCAAAGGGGTCGAGGGCAACGGGGGTCGGACCAGCCTTCCGCGTGCAACCCCTTTCTTCCAGCCATCGGAAGGGGGGTGCCCAAACTCCGCTGGAACGCCTCAGTTTCGGGGCTCGAGCGAAGCGTTGTTTTGGCGCATGCGTGGGCCGTTTTCGCTCCGATCTCGCTCCGCAGCGAAGGCAGCACGGAGAGCGAACGAAGACAGAGCGAACAACAGAACACATTGCTTCCCTCGAGCCCTGTTCAGTATGACGTCGGCGTCGCCCCATCATACTTATATTATATGTGCGTCGCCCCCCCAGGGGCGACGCGCGCACCGAGAAATCTTATAGTACATGTGTCTCGGCGGGCGCTTCATGGCCACACCGCTCGGGAAAGGATGTACTACAAGATGGGTATGCTACACGTTCGGGTCGGACGCGCGCGCCTCCAAGCAGAACATCTAGTACTTCAGCGAGCGAAGAACGGTATAAAATAAACTTTTTCGCTGTCGGGGGCGCCTGTCCCTGGGCGGCTGGAAAGTTTATACCCCTACGGTGGCACCGTAGGGGTATGCTATACGTTCGGGTCGGACGCGCGCGCCTCCAAGCAGAACATCTAGTACAGTCGGGGCGCTGAAGAAGGAACCCTTCTAGTTGGGGAGGGGCTCCGTGTTCCTTGATCGTGTCACAATTTGTTTTAGGTTGTCATTTGGTTTTCGATGGGACATCGAAGTTCGACGTGTGGAAAACAAGGGCCTCGTTCCTTATTTAGGGTTCCTTAGGTCAACGCCCCGACTGTACTAGCATGTCTCCGTGCGTCCCATGGCGGTCCCATGTTGCTTCCCTCCCCTCCGTGCCCTCGCTGCCTCCCCTCCCCTGCTGCTGCCTCCCCTCCGCTCCGCGCTGCCCTCCCCCCCTCCTCCTCCTCCTCCTCCTCCTCCTCCCCCTCCTCCTCCTCCTCCTCCTCCTCCTCCTCCCCTTCCTCCTCCCCCTCCTCCCCCTCCTCCTCCTCCGTGGGGCTGGATGGGTAAAAACGCAGGCTCGGAAACCAGACGGCACGGTATATATCAAGTTTCGCCGGCAACCTCGTGTTTTTTTCTGGCGCCACCTTCAATATGCTGGTGTGGAAGTCGAGCTCCGGATACTGCGGCTCAAGATGTTCCAATCATTTCTCCGAGAGCCGCTGCATCATCAAATGTATTTCACGGCGTTCTTTGGCGCCATGGCCTTCGAGGACGTCCGCGGCTGCACGAACCACCCGTGGCACTCGCAGCTGGTTAACGACCTCACCGAGATGGGAGCTACTAGTTTGGGCGTGTCGTGCGCAGCAAGTATGGCCCGGGAGCCGAGGCAACTACTACACGATAGTTCACTTCGGGATCGTTTCCTCGGGGCTGATGTCGAAGAGCTTCGCGCGGTTGCTCTTTCGGCGTCTGGCAGTGTACTTGGGACAAAAGCTTCTGGGAACGAAGAAGAAAGTGAACACTTTATGTGTGACGGTTCGATGTATAGTGGGTGTGCTTGCGGCCGTACTTTCTGTTCACTGCACGCCCTGCAGGCGCATGACAATCACATGCTTCGACGGGAAGGCAACATTTTCACCACCGCGTTCGTGGTTGCCCCGATGTGTCCCTGGTGTCTGTCATCTTTCTCGTCTCGCGAGAGCGCAGTCAGGCACGTGCGCGCTATGACTCGCACGAGAGAGTGCCAGTTCGATATGGCTATCATTCCTAGCACGGTGCCGGACGAGCAAGAGATCGTATGCCCATGTTGCAGTGAAGAGTTTTCACATCTTTCAGCGTATCACAGGCACGTGAGGCTCGAGCATTTCGCGGGGCCGCAAACGGTCGTTTTGCCACCTGTGCCGGAGTTCGTCCTGGATGGACCTCCTGGGAGGCGCCGTCGACGAGGCGAGCCAGCAACAGGCTCCCAAGTCGCGAGCGGTCGGAGCTTCCCCGCAGGAGACGAAGAAGTACTTGGAGACCACGATGAAGACCGCCTGCAGCCTGAAGTTCGCCTAGCGTATTTTCAGAGCCGTATGCACCGACACCTACACCCTCGACCCCGCGGACGAGTTCGTGGTTCAGTCCAAGGCAACCTCGGTCCAGTTCAACAAGAAAGCCAAGGAGCTCAGTGCAGAGGCTCGCCGGCGCACCATGGGCGAGCCCCACGTGCAGGTCTTCAACACGTGGGCGAAGCTCGCGCTGCAGCACCACCAGAGCAAGGACAACGAGGCCGAGGTCAAGCGCCTGACCAAATTCAACGAGATCATGATGGTCGGCGGCAAGGAGAAGGCTCTGGAGAGGTTGCTTCAGCAAGTGAGGTACGCGTACGTCACCCACCCCAGGGGGGGCCACGGCAATCACAACAGCAGGCTCGAGGCGAACGTGCGAGAGACCATCGTGGAAATCGATCCGGCCGCAGATCCGTCCGGGGAAGATCTCGGTCTCAAGATCAAGCCGCGCCCGTGCTACGCCGCTTGGCTCAGCATCCAGATGGCGATTCAGGAGAAGGGCGCCGAGCACAAGTACGGGATGCCTCCAGCGGGCGACCTCGAACGCAGGGTTCAGAACGCCTTGAACGAGATGGCCGGGGAGCCAGCGAGGTACAAGTTAGACGACTAGACGGCACCATTGCCACGCTCACCGGTCCAACGGCTGAGCGGTACTTGAGCTGGCTGCATGGCTGCATGTAATGACGGTTCACACGTGGCGGTTGGCATGTCAACGAACACGGTTGGCATGCACCGGCGCTCTGTCGCGCTCTGCGTGGGCGCCTCAGGCAGTGCGCTAGAGGTGCCAGTGGGTCCCTCGACTCGCGCGCCCTCCCTTTCGGGGCCCTTGCGGGCGTATCCCATCTCTGAGAGCCAGGACTATATGCTGCCACGATGTTTTTTTACAGTAGTCCCTTTTCCAAGCAAGTCACGGCATGGAGCTCTCCGCAGAGACACTGGAGTCTGGAGTCTGGAGTCTCCCCCCCCTCCTCCTCCTCCTCCTCCTCCTCCTCCTCCTCCTCCTCCTCCTCCTCCTCCTCCTCCTCCTCCTCCTCCTCCTCCTCCTCCTCCTCCTCCTCCTCCTCCTCCTCCTCCTCCTCCTCCTCCTCCTCCTCGCTTGCCATGCTGCTCTCCTCGCCTCCGTGCCGGCGCTGCTGCCAGGGCGGGCCCGCCCGCCCGCGCTCGGGCCGCGCGCCGCTCTCCCCGCCGCCGGGGCCGGCCCGCCGGCCGGCGTCGAGCGAGTCTCCGTCCGAGTCCGTGCTCCCTCTGGACGCCCGACATGGGCACCGAAGGAATGGGTACTCCAGATTTCGTAATAAAGGGAGGGGGGTCTCATTTCGGGGGGGGTCTCTTCCAGGCTATCTTGGAGGGCCTGGAGGGGTCTGGGGACGATGTTTTGGAGGGTTCTCCCACGGGGGGGGGTCTGAAATGGCTTGTCTTGGAGGGTCCAGACCCCCTCCCTTTTATCACGAAATCTGGAGTACAATTTCCAACAGCAGTTCCTGTTCATTCTGAACAGGACTCGCTGTCCGCGCCGCCGCGGCCCGTGTCCATTCGAGACAGGAGGCCGCCCGCCCAGCAGCGGCCGCTGTTGGTCTGGGACAACACTTGCTGTTGGGCATTGTGCCCATTCTTCCGGTACCCATTTCGGGTGTCCAAAGTCCGAGTCCATGCTCTCCCCGTCCGCCCGCGGGGGCTTCGCATCCCCCCGCGACCAGAATGCGAAAGTCGGGGGAGCGTGAGACCCGGGTTTGCCAGGACTCGGGTTCGCCATCGTTTTTTGACGACCGCGCCTCGGATTTTGACGAGGAGGAGTTTCGTGGGATGTCTGCAGCGGGAGGCCTCGTCAAAATGCAGGCTCGGCCTCGTCATTTTTTGACGACTTCGTCGGGGATATCCGAGTCCCCTGTACCCAGGTCTTACGTCCCCTTGATCCCCGCCGCCAGGGCCGGCCCGCCGGCCGGCTTCGAGCGAGTCTCCGTCCGAGTCCGTGCTCTCCCCGTCCGCCCACGGGGGCTTCGCATCCCCCCGCGACCAGAATGCGAAAGGATGGTCCAAGACGCTCCCAAGCAGCCCAAGTCAGCCTTCCGGCGGCTCTCGAGGCTCCCAGGTGGCCTCCAAGAGACCCCAAGAGAGGTCCGAGAGGCGTCCCGGGACGGCCCGAAGAGGTCAAAATCGTAGATGTTCATTGGTTGTGGTTCCATGTGTTTGGCCTCTCGCGTTTTCGAGCATCCAATGGCCCAAGAGAGCCGAAGAGGCTCCCAAGACCGCCCCAAGACCACCCAAGAGACCCTCAGGACGGCCCCAAGACGGGCCAAGAAAGCTCCAAGACTGCCGAAGAGGCGCCCAGGACAGCCCCAGACCACCCCAGCACAGGTCCAAGATGGGCCCAAGAGCGGGAGCAGGAGGCTTCCAGAGACCTCCGAGATGCCTCTAGGACCAGCCAGAGGCCCCCAACACACCCCCGATCCCTGAGAGGCTCCAAAAAGACCCCGACGAGGCTCCAAGAACAGCCCAAGAGAGCTGCGAGAGCCGTCCCGAGAGAGCCCAAAGAGTGTAAAATCGTTGATTTCCAATGGTTTTGTCCTATGTGTTTCGCCTTCTCACGTTTTCCCGCTTCCATTTCGGAATTTGAGCCCCAAAAGGAAATTCTCAGAATTTGTTGTTCAAAGTGGAACTCCTATAGGGGGTCCTACACATCCCCTGACATCTGGCCGGTACCGCGCCTCCCGGCTTCCCGGGGGGGCCCCAAGACGCCCAAGGACAGACCAAGACGACCCCAAGGAGCCCCCAGAACGTAAAGAACGGTCCAACACGCCCCCGCGCAGCCCGAGACACCTTTCCAACAGCTCTCCAGGCCTCCAGGGAGGCCTCCAGAACCCCCAGGGGAGATCATGCTACGCATGGAACGAATTCAAGGAAAATCAATTGCAGTGGATCCGTGAGTGGATCAATCTTGATTGATGAGGCTATGATGCCTCTTTTGATTTTGAGCCGGCTATGATGCCCGCTCGTGCCCACCCCGTCCCGTCTTCAGGGACTTCGCATCCCCCTATGATGGTAGGATGGGAAGACGGGCCGCCGCCCCTGGCACTGCACGTACGGTGCCAGGTTTGTGGGGATTTGGTTCGACCCCCGCAGTTCCAATGATGGAAACTGCGAGGGGTGTGAGGCCTCATGGTGGTCCTCACTGGTAAGGCCTATGATGGTCCTCACCGGGGGGGGAGAGGGCAAGGGCGGACGTCCACCAACAACGTTCGTCGTGCTCATCCTCCATGAGGCCGAGGTGCTGCTCGCACTGCCTGTATCGCGGCTCCGATGGGGTGGAGACCAGGAGGAGGAGAAGGAGGAGGAGGACGACGACGACGAGAAAGTTGAGTTCAATGAACAAATTGAGCGCGAAGGCCTATGATGGTCCTTCTTCCCAAAACGAGCCTTGCTGATGGCCCCGAATTGGGTGCGAGGTGCCTATGATGGCCCCTCTGGTTGCCTATGATGGCGGCACTGGACGACCGGCAGGGGACTGAGTCCCGTTCACGGTCCATTAGGGGAGAGCATGCTACGCATGGAATGAATTCAATGAAAATCAATTGCAGTGGATCCGTGAGTGGATCAATCTTGATTGATGAGGCTATGATGCCTCTTTTGATTTTGAGCCGGCTATGATGCCCGCTCGTGCCCACCCCGTCCCGTCTTCAGGGACTTCGCATCCCCCTATGATGGTAGGATGGGAAGACGGGCCGCCGCCCCTGGCACTGCACGTTCGGTGCCAGGTTTGTGGGGATTTGGTTCGAGGGGTGTGAGGCCTCACTGGTGTGTCCTCACTGGTAAGGCCTATGATGGTCCTCACCGGGGGGGGAGAGGGCAAGGGCGGACGTCCACCAACAACGTTCGTCGTGCTCATCCTCCATGAGGTCGAGGTGCTGCTCGCACTGCCTGTATCGTGGCTCCGATGGGGTGGAGACCAGGAGGAGGAGAAGGAGGAGGAGGACGACGACGACGACGAGAAAGTTGAGTTCAATGAACAAATTGAGCGCGAAGGCCTATGATGGTCCTTCTTCCCAAAACGAGCCTTGCTGATGGCCCCGAATTGGGTGCGAGGTGCCTATGATGGCCCGTCTGGTTGCCTATGGTGGCGGCACTGGGCGACCGGCAGGGGACTGAGTCCCGTTCACGGTCCATTAGGGGAGAGCATGCTACGCATGGCATGAATTCAATGAAAATCAATTGCAGTGGATCCGTGAGTGGATCAATCTTGATTGATGAGGCTATGATGCCTCTTTTGATTTTGAGCCGGCTATGATGCCCAGGAAGGTCCCACCCCTGAGGGGCCCGGCTAACAAAACCCGCTAGGCACCAACAAAAACAACGCCGAACAGCGCAGAGGAATTGGAAAACATTGAAATCCCACAGTTCTTTGTTTTTCAAGTTTTCCCCTTGGTCTATTCTTGTACAACAGACCACAATTCAGACCCCCCTCGCCTCCTTAAAAAAAGCCTGGAAGCCTTTGAGGCCCCCAAATCGTTGAATACCTAAAGGAAGTGAATGGTTTCTGCGTTTCCGCACCTTCCTTTCGATACGATTCCGAGGCTTGCGCAGGGGCCCCAAGGGAGTCCCTGGACGCAAGAAGCGACCAAAGTGACATTACATGAGTTAGCCTATCAAGCCTAGCTAGAGCTCGAGCGCGAGCGAAGCGCGCGCGATGGTTCTAGTGTGTATACATATATACATATATATATATATATATATATATATATACATACACATTCATCTATAGGAAACGCCATTAACAGACCTTCCTTCTTGGATCGGCGTTGAGCCCCCACTAGCGGCTCTTCTGGCGCCGCCCCGAGGAGGAGGAGGAAAAGGAAAAAGGCGGCGGAAAGTGAGAAGGCCGATGACGAGGAAAACGAAAACGAGGACGGCAGCGAAGACGAGGCGACGTTCATTAGCCAGGAGGGGGGTGACGACGACGACGACGACGAGGACGAGGACGAGGACGAGGACGACGACGACGGAAAAGGCGACGACGATGATGACGAGGACGAGGACGAGGACAGGGGTGGGACCCCCCCCCCTCCTCGATCCTTAGGGGAACAAGAGAGCGCCCCTACCCCTGCCGGGCCATCCTCCCCCGACGGGGGGGGGGCAGGTGGTGGTGGGGGCACACCTGTCTGAGCCGCGCGCTCGCCAAACATCCTCGCAGTGAGGTCTCCAGGGGGGGGGGGGGGGCAGGCGTGGGGGCGAGGATGGGGGGGGGGGAGGTGCTCTCTCTCTCTGCCCCCGGATCCCCGCTCCGCCCCCTCCCCCCGCTCCCTGGGACGGCCGCCCCGCCAGGATTACCTCTGTGGCCGCTGGGGGGCCCTGGGGCTGCCGGCGGACGCCTCCGTCGGGGGCTGCGCCGTGGCGTCCATGCGCGTGGCGCTCATGGCGCCCTGGAGGGGGTGTGGTGGACGGGGGCGGAAAAGAGGGGGGTGATGACTAGGGGGGGGTGGATATCATGGCGGGGGCCATGACATTTCCCCAGATTTCATGGCGCCTTTTCTTATTTCATTACGTCCTTGGCCCCCCCGCTGGGCCGCGCACATGCCGCCGGTCATGATTTGCACCCCCCCCTCTTGGACACCCTCCTCTTGGCCGCTCCCGAGGGTGGACGGGGGAGAGAAGGGAGGCGGAGGAGGAGGAGGAGGAGGGGGAGGAGGAGGAGGAGGACCAGAGCAAACCCAAGACTCGTCAACGATGTTGGAATGCACCCTCCCTCCAAGCTCCCTCTCCACGGGCCCCATAACAGGGCTCGTTGCCTTGTTGGGGCCAGCCGTGTGAAAATCTTCCAGCGTGCCAAAAACACCATTGTCAGGACTTCAACGCCGCGAGTTATCCTGACTGTTACAGCTAGGCGATCCTGAATTGCGCCAGAACGCAATTATTGCAAAGCTAACACCGCGAGTCCAGGTATATGCTGCGCCATGGCAATCCTGAACCGTTTCAAAACACCAGTTCTGGTACATGCATCATGAGAACCAGTGAAGCTCTTGCAAATGTTTGAGACGAATGTGCGCGGCGCTAGGGCGAGGGCCACATGTTGGAAAGGAATCGCCTTCACTTTGTGAAGCTCTTGCTATTGATAAGATGAATGCGCGCGGCGCTCAGGCGAGATTGGCGCAAAGTCCATTGACAACGACTGCGTAACTGGCTAGAACCTGAGCGCGCGCGCGTAGCACGCGCGTGGTTCCATGCGCGTGCTCAGGTGGATAATGTGGAATGTAATTAGTGGGGTGTAGTATAGTGTATGTATTTGTGTGTGCATGTGTATGTGTATGTGTGCATGAACACATTGATGCATGTATAGTTATATTTGTATGCATGTGTGTATGCGTGTATGCATGTAGGTATACATGCATGTGTTTATGACATGTAATGTGACATATTGTAATGTAGTGTAGTGTACTGTAATGTCATGGTTTGCAGTGACATGGAATGTAATGTAACTCAAGTAATGTAACGCGTATGTGTATGTATGTATGTATGTGTGTGTATGTATGTGTGTGTATGTATGCATGTATGTATGTGTGTGTGTTTATGTATGTATGTGTGTAATGTATGTGTGTATGTATGTATACATGTATGCATGTATGCATGTATGTATGTATGTATGTATGTATGTGTGTGTATGTATGTGTGTGTATGCATGCATGCATGCATGCATGTATGCATGTATGCATGGATGCATGGATGCATGGATGCATGTATGCATGTATGCATGTATGCATGTATGCATGTATGCATGTCTGTATGTATGTATGTATGTATGTATGTATGTATGTATGTATGTATGTATGTATGTATGTATGTATGTATGTATGTATGTATGTATGTATGTATGTATGTATGTATGTAATGTATGTAATGTGTGTAATGTATGTATGTATGTATGTATGTATGTATGTATGTATGTATGTATGTATGTATGTATGTATGTATGTATGCACGTTCGTACGTACGTATGTACGTACGTATGTATGTATGTATGTATGTATGTATGTATGTATGTTCCTCTATTCCAGCCTGTTCCCTTATTCAGAGAAACGACCTGATAAAACTCCGGGTGCGTCTGGGTGGCGTGAGTCGCGAGCGCCCCAGGAGGGCCCAAGACGGCCCCAGATGGCCCCGAGACGGCCCCGGATGGCCCCAGGAGTCTTCAGGAAGGCCCGATGAGCGCCCCAGGAGGCCACGATGGGCCCAAGACGGGCCCAAGATGGTTGCTTGACGGCCCAACGTGCCCCCAGATGGCCCAAGAGAGCTCGAAGACAACTCCGAATAGGCCCCCAGGGGACACAAATTATACGGTTTCTTGAGATGTAGGTGCCTTTTTCGCATACTCGGCTTCCCGGTCTCCAGAGCGCTCAAGACGGCCGAAGAGGCCCCCGAGATCGCGCCAAGACGGCTCAATAGGCGCCCAAAAGAGCCCCAAGACGAGACCAGGACTGCCCTCCGTAGCCATTGTGGCTCAAGCGTTGTTGGCTCAAGGGCAGTGCTGTATCAAGGCACGCAGTCGCCCTGGCACGAAGCAGGTTCGCACACCGTGTTCCAGCGCTCGACCAGGGTGATGCGGGCCAAAGGGTCTACGCTTCGTTGCCGTGGCCGCCTCAGCAAATGGGAGTTGATCAAGACATCAGCCGACCACCGAGGCCTACGAGACGAAGGTGGATGAAAGGTGAAACCAATATTCGAAGATGTGCCGCCGAGAGCGGCGCGGGGAAATGCATCGCAGTTGCAAGTGTCAGGGCAGCGTGGATGCTGTTTCGATGAAGTGTTTACTCCCATATCATCACCGAAAGATCGAGAGTGTCCGAGCAGATGCATTACAACAGGAGACCCCGTGTGGAGAGCTTACCGGCGACGCGGTCACCTCGGGCGCGTGCCTGAGCGCCACGCGACTCTGCAACGGGCTTGCCTGTCTTTAGTGCAGAATCGGGCGTGACGGATTACGCTGCGCCGCTTGTCCATTGGTCGTGGCAGTGTCGTCTCACATGGTGTTTTGCGCGCCATATTTGAAGCAAGTCTTGATCTCTCTCTTGCTCTCTCGGCCCCATCTTGGCAGGTGGATTTGAGGTCGCCACCGAAGACCCCCGAGACATCCGTGCAGAGAGCTTATCGGCGACGCGGTCACCTCGGGCACGTGCCTGAGCGCCACGCGACTCTGCAACGGGCCTGCCTGTTCTCTCAGTGCCCGAAGTTTGTGTTGGCTGCCTTGAGTGCAGAATCGGGCGTGACGGATCACGCTGCGCCCCTTGTCCATTGGTCGTGACAGTGTCGTCTCACACGGCGCTTTGCGCGCCATATTTGAGGCAAGTCGTGATCTCTCTCTTGCTCTCTCGGCCCCATCGTGGCAGGTGGATTTGAGGTCGCCACAGAAGACCCCGGAGACCTCCGTGCGGAGAGCTTACTGGCGACGCGGTCGCTTCGGGCACGTTCCCACCCAAGCGCCCAAGCGCCACGCGACTCCGTAACGGGCCGGCCTGTCCTCTCTCTCGCGGCCCCTTGGCTCGGCCAGCTGAGGCGGCGAGCGCTGCCTTGGCGCGCGGTTCCGCGAATGCTCCTGTAATGCATAGTTGCATTCATGGCCGTGCCAGGCTTCGGCACAGGGCTACCGACTCGGCTCTACCACAGCGACTGGAAGTCGTCGGGCGAAGGCCCCTTTAGTCTGACAGGTGACTGGAAGTCGTCGGTCTCGGCTCTACCCCAGCGACTGGAAGTCGATTTCTCTTGTAATGGTCACCATCAACTCCTGTCATTACGCTATGATGCAACGAACTTGCAGTTTTTGCTCAGCCCTCACGAAGTCGGCCACGGAGGCTGCTGCTCTCTCCCTTCGGTGGCGAACGCAGCATTTCGCGGGGGCCGAATATTCGCAGCCTGCTGAGCGGCCGCATCACCTGACCGATGTGCGGAGCCTTGCGGCAGGCCTCGGCCTCTAGCGGCTCTCCAGAGCTGTTCCAAACCCTTCTTGGTTGGGCAGTCGTTTGGAACAGAGCACTGCAGTCGCGTCCCTCTTCTCCTCCTCCCGCTTCCCGCTTCCTGCCCCCCGCCTCCCGCCCTCCCTCCTGCTTGTCTCCGCTTGTCGGCCGCGATCTGCGAAACCGTCGCCACGTTCGAGGGCTGCTGGTGGGTCCAGCGGAGTGAGGCACCGCGCAGACCTGAGGTAGACCTCGCCGTCCTTGGGGGGCTGCGATCTGCGAAACCGTCGCCACTTTCGAGGACTAGTGGTGGGTCCAGCGGAGTGAGGCACCGCGCAGACCTGAGGTAGACATCGCCGTCCTTGGGCGGTTGCGGTCTGCGAATGTGTCGCCACTTTCGAGTTCTGGTGGTGGGTCCAGCGGGGTGAGGCACCGCGCAGACTTGAGGTAGACCTCGCCGTTCCTGGGGGTCTGCGGTCTGCGAAATTGTCGCCACTTTCGAGGGTTGTTGGTGTGTCCAGCGGAGCGCACCGCGCAGACCTGAGGTAGACCCCGCCGCCCTTGGGGAGCTGCGATCTGCGAAACCGTCGCCACTTTCGAGGGCTGCTGGTGGATCCAGCGGAGTGAGGCACCGCGCAGATTTGAGCGAGACCTCCCCGTCCCTGGGGGGCTGTGATCTGCGAAACTGTCGCCACGTTCGAGGGCTGCTGGTGGGCTCACCACTTTCGAAGGCTGCTGGTGGGTCCAGCGGAGTGAGGCTCTGCGCGGACTTGAGCTGGACCTCGCCGTCCTTGGGCGGCCGTGTCATGTTGCTGCTGCCCCGCCGACGGTTGAAGCCCCGTGCCCACAGTCTCTGTTGGACCTTGCGTCTTCCTGAGCGACTCATGGATTCACTTAGTTACTCAACGCTTTTCCCTTGATTGGGGACCTGCGAACCTTCCGAGTGCAGCTCGCAGAAGTATATGCGTCCATGTCATGTCGCCGCCTTCTCGTCAAATCTCCCAAGCCACTCCTGCTCCGCATTGCGCAGGGGTTGGGTACGTCGCAAGGGTAATTATGTCAGAGAGCATTGCGTACCACAAAGTTGGTGATCTTGTCTGTGCTCTGGAGGTACACATGTGGGTGGACTCCAATCGGCCCCCAAGAGGCCCGAAGAAGTCCCCAAGAGGCCCCCATGAAGCCCCATTACGGTGACCACGACAGCTTGCTCATGTCGTTGCAACATTCTTTTGGCGCGGTTCCCCAAGTGTCTGTTGACCTCGTAATTATCTTGCTTGGTTCGGTTAGGAGTAAGCAGTGGTGCGCGGCGAGTCCGTGGTGGTTTGTTAGATTGCCAGGGCTCATAAGAATCTTGCAGGGCTGATGGCCGCAGGAATCTGCGATGTCCTGAAGCACTTGCCAGCACTGTGGCAGCCACAGTCGCGGGCCAGATTCTGGTTGACATATCAAAGTTTGACCCAAACAGTAGCGTGTGTTTGCTTGCTGCGGCCTCGCTAGAATTTGAATTCGGCATCGCACGGTAACTGACCTGCCCTTTTGGTTGGCACTTCAGCTGCTCGCTGGAGCACCTAACAAAAAATAAGCAAAACTAGCCTAGGACGGCCCAAGAGGGGCCCAAGACGGCCCCAAGACATTCCACGATGGCACCCCGGAGGGGCTCCAGACGGCACAGGAGGGCAGCAAGATAGCCCAACAGGGCCCCCAGACCGTCCCAGAACAGCCCCAAAAGGCCCACAGGATGCCCCAGAGGGACCACGACGGCCCCAGATGGCCCCAAGAAGGCCCAGGAGGCCCGCAAGATTGCATAAGAACGGTCCCAAGAGACCCCAAAGAGAGCCCATTCGGAATCCTGCATTAGTACGGCGATGGTCAGACTCTCTCTCTCTCTCTCTCTCTCTCTCTCTATATATATATATATATGTATATAGAGAGATACATACATACATGCACATATACATACATACATGCATACATGCATGCATACATACATGCAGATTTACACACATACACATACACATACACATACACATACACATACACATACACATACGCATACGCATACGCATACGCATACGCATACGCATACGCATACGCATACACATACACATACACATGCACATACACATACACATACACATACCTACATACATACATGCATGCATACACAGACACACATACATACATAAACGTGTGTGATTGTGGAACACAGGTTTGTATTATATATGGATATATATATAGATATATGCATATATACATGTGTGTATATATACGCATACGTGTGTCTAACTATATGGTTTGGAGTGTATGTATGGATGCACATGTATACATATGGATATATAAAGATACATGTGTAGGGATATGATTATACACTCATACACTATACAGGTATATGTGTGTATACTGTTTGTATGTAAATACAGAAATATATTAGTTGTGTATGTGTGTGTATGTGTATACACTCTCACTCACTCTCTTTCTTTCTGGGGCCAAGACCAGTTGCTTTGAACTCCTGACCGTGGCCCAGGAGACTTTCCAAGGTGGAACCCAGACGGCCCAAGAGGGTCCAGGACGGCCCTGGAGCGCGCCCAGATGGCCCCAGATGGCCTCCAGACCGCCACAGACATCTCAACATGGCCCCAAAAGATCCCCCGGAAGCCTGTGATAGATCTACGCTTTTCCAGATCAGGTCTCGCCTCATCGCTTCCGAGGGGCCTCTGCAGTCTCAAGATGGTCGAAAAATGGCCCTAGAGGAGCCCCGGGAACGCCCAAGACGGTCAACTAGAGCCCCGAAGACCGTTCAAGATAGTTCCGGGACGGCCTTCGGGGCCGCCAAGACGGCTCCAGATAGCCTCCAGACAGCCCCGGACAGCTTAAGATGTCCACCAGACGGCCCAAGAAGGATCCCGCGAGGCTCCCAAGAGACTTCCACGAGGGAAGGCGAAATTCTTGGAAAGAAAGCGAGCGAAAACCATACGTTTGTCAAGATGTTGCCATATCGGTTCCGAGGAGCCTCTGATGCCCCAGGATGGTCCAACAACGGCCGTCGAGGAGCCCCAGGAAGGCCCCAGACGGTCGACTGGAGCCCCCGAGACCCTTCAAGTAGCTCGTTCCGTAGCCAGTTTGGCTTCAGACATTTGCGATCGAGTCTCATCGCCCGAGACCCAGCACAGCCTGCCAATCGAAATCATACTCGCGGACCTTGTCTCTAGATGGCGATGAGGATCTTCCTTGCTCTCTTCGCCCTGACGTCCGTGGCCTCTTCCCTGAAACTCCAATCCGGAGAGTCGTCTGAAGATGAGCTCGCGCCCGCAGCTCTGAGTCACATCCTCTCCGAGGCGGAGGGGCTGCTGCAGGAGGCCGACGACGCACAGCTCCTGGCTGGCGGCGAGACGTCCCTCCTCAGCATCGACGACGCGACCGACGAGGTGCCCGCCACGGAGGAAGCGTCGAGCCACGCCGCCGGCATCGACCCCGAGCCTCAGGAGCAGGCCTCTGCCGCCAGCACCGGCACCGCGACCGTCGATGCGCCCGCCGCGGAGGCTGCCCCGGACGCCCCGGTCGAGCGGGCGACGGAGGGCGCCAACGCCTCGGGGAACGCCTCGGAGGCGCAGGGCGACGAGAACCAGAGCAGGGCCAACCTGTCCACGTACTTCGACCCCAAGCTGATGGCCATCTTCCGCGAGAAGCAGGCGCACCTGAAGGAAACGATGAAGGATTTCATGGTGTCGAAGAAGGAGCTGGACGTGGCCAAGCTGGCCGCGAACTTGGCGATGAAGAAGCTGAGGTTGGCGACCGAGAAGCGGAGGAAGATCCTGATGGGCGAGAGGATGGCTGAGGCCGAGGAGCGTCGGGCGATCAAGGAGAACCGGCGACAGGCCAAGTCGGACATGACAGCGCGCGCAGAGCAGTTGCTGGAGGACTCGTTGGGTGGTCTCGCGGGGGTCAACATGAGCTATATGGTCGACGTCGTTCTGGCCCTGCCAGAAGCTTTGCAGGACGAGGAGTTTGTGGAGGACTTCCGCAACGTGACAAAGAGGGTGGACATGAATGTCCGGAAGTTTCTGGACCAGACCCAGCAGAAGACCACACAGTTCGTCAAAGACAGCACTTCCGCCTCCGACGTGGAGCTGCGCTTCATTATGGCGAAGTTCTTCCACGAGTCTGGCTTCCGCCTCCGAGGGCTCCACCAGGACAGCCTGAAGGCCATCCAGATGCTCAGGCGAACGGTGCCGGAGGACTTGGAGAGGGCGCTCTTCCCGTTCCTCGGGCAGCTGAACGCCAACACGGTCCGCCTCAGGATCAATGCCACCAGCTTGGCCACCGCCACCCCGAAGGAGGCGTGCGACCAGATCACCCAGATTATGGCTAACGTCAGCGACTACGATTCCAAGTTGGAGACCATCGGCAAGGTGATCGAGAACGTGTCCACGCGGGTACTGCCCAACATGGAGAGGACGCTGCAGGTCTCCCCGAACATCACCACCTTCGTGGGATCGTTCCTGAACATGGCGCGCCTTGAAGTGGGCGGCCTGCAGGAGGCGGCCCACAGCATGGTCACTAGGGCCAGCCCCATCATCGCCGAGCGGGTGCAATGTACCTTCAGCAGCGCGCGCCAGGGCATCGGCCTCAGCTTCCTCAGCGCGGTCGTGGTGCTCGCGACCTCGTGGCTCCATCATTGAGAGGTTGGACTCTCGTTGCATTTAGCGTTAGCGTAGGAGCTTCACGGTCCATTACGAATAGTTTTTGGTTTTGTCGCTTCATTGACAAGGTGATCGAGATCGTTCTGATTATGCCAGTGCGGCAGGGAGCCATCATCGCCAAGATTTCCATTTGCGAAGAGCTTAACGCGTGGAGAGCGTGTCACGGAGAAACAAATCAACATATACATTAAGTAATACCCTTCAAGTGGCTCCACAGCGGCCGAAAAGGTCTTTGAGACGGCCCTCTATCCCGTCAAGGCGGCCCCAGATGGCCTCCAGACAGCGCCAGGCAGCTGATCCGACCACGGGCGATAATAAGGCCTACCCCCCCTTACCCCCCTCTATTGTTATTATCCCCGTTCAACAGGATTTAATTGTGGAGAGGGGCGCTGAGGCCGAACTTTAAAATCGACGAGCGGAGTTGCGAATCGAAGTTGCTATCATCTTATGTTGACTAGCAACAGCATCAGTCTTGTGCCAGCGCCTGCCTCGAGCCAGTCGTGTGCCGAGCGCCTGCTGGCAAGTTGTATAACCACGAGCATCGAGATCTCTCGAGTCAGTCTTGTGCCGAGCGCCCACGATCACCATCGTCATGATCACCGTCATCATCATCATCATAACTTACCTTCCACGGGAAAATCTTTATTATCCCCGCCAGACCCCCGAACTTTACTATCTCCCGGTGATTATTATCGCTCGCACAGGAATAATGATCCCCAGATGTCCCCAGAAAGCCCCAAATATGCTCCCAAGACGCTTCCAATATGCTTCCAGGATAGGAGCATCTTTCAAGCACCTGTGGACAACAATAGGTGTTCCCAGATCTCGCCTGTTCGCTTCCGAGGGCCACTCAGGCCTCAGGACTGCTGTGCAACGGCCCTCGAGGAGCCTCAAAGCGGCCAGAGATGGTCGACTGGGGACTTCAAGACCCTCGAAGATGGTCCTGAGACAGCCGAAGACGGTTTGCCCACGAGCCCGCCAAGACGGTCTCAGCTAGCCCCCAGACGGCTCAAGGCAGCCCAAGATGTTTCCAAAAGCCTGAGAGGCCTCCAGGAGACCAAACTCATCCAACAATTTGGCATCGCTCGGACGTGTGCATTTTTCCTTCGGCGAGGGCCATCGAGGAGCACCCTTAATCACTTAGCGAAAAAAACACACACGAAACCAAAAAAAACACAAGGAATGGACGTCCGAGCGATGGCCAGTGAAGGTCTCGCCTTCTCGCTCCCGAGGGGCCTCTGAGGCCCCAGGATGGCCCAAGAATGGCCTTCGAGGAGCCCCCGAGAGGCCCAAGACGGCCGACCGGGGCCCCGAAACCCTTCGAGGTGTATCCTCGACGGCCGAGGATGGCTTCGAGACGGCCCTCCAGCCGCCAAGACAGCTCCAGATGGCCGCCAGACAGCCCCAGGCAGCTTGAGATGGCTCCAAGACGGCCCCACCGCGCCCCGCAGAGGCTCCCAAGAGATCTCCAAGAGGCCCCCAGGAGACTGAGATCCTTCATTCCCGACGGTCCGCCCCCCACACGCACCGGGCGTGACGTTTCCCGAGGCTTCTTCGGGAACATCTGGCCGACGGCACAACGACGATGATCATATTGATGGTCATCATGACGATGGTCTGGCCAAAAGGTTTGAAGATATTTATGATGGTGATGATGGCGACAACGATGATGCTGATGATGATGATGCTGATGCTGATGGCGATGATGACGATGATGATGGTGATGCTGTTGATGGTGATGATAATGTTGGGTATGGCGGTGATTGTGATGCTTGTCATGGTTTTGATGATGTTGGTGACGATGACGATCATGCTGATGATCATGATGAGGTAGATGATGATGATGATGATGATGATGATGATGATGATGATGATGATGATGATGATGATGATGATGATGATGATGATAACGATGACGATGGCGATGGCGATGACGATGACGATGGTGAGTATGATGTTGGTGATGGCGATAATGATGATGATGATGATGCTGAGGATGCTGAGGATGATGAGGATGATTATGGTGATATTGATGATGATGATGATGATGATAATAATAATGATGATGATGATTGCCAGCGTGACAATGATGTTGTTGACGACGATTATACTTATCATGCTGCTGATGATGCTGATGATGCTGATAATGATTATCGTTCCAGGCAAGAGAACCCAAGAGACTCACGTGCACCCAGTTAGCTTCAACATGCCTTCCGAAGCCCCGTTCCAAGCCCCCCCACACCTGGACGATGCTCCGCGCGGGGCTCGCATTGGACTTGATGCTCAACTCATTCAGTCCAGACGGCCCGTCTGAGCCTCCCGCACACAGCTGGCCTGATGTTCCCAGAGGCTGCTCCAGGAACATCTGGTCGGCGTCGTCACGACGACGATGCCAATGATGATGTACATGACGACGATCTTGTCATTAATGGTTGCGATGCAAGGAGGGTTATGACGATGATTGATGAAGATACTGATCGTGGAGACGATGATGCTGCTTGTTGTGATGATGTCACCCCCGCCCTTTCTACCTATCCCTCTCTGTCTCTGCCCCGCTTGCACATCCCTTCTCTCTGCAGGATGGAAGTGAGCGAACCAGGCCACGAGTGGAAGGGGGGCGAGGGGATGCATAAGAGGAGCAGGAGGAGAAGCAGGTGGAGGAGAAGGAGGAGGAGGAGGAGCGTTCCCCGTTGTTCCCCGTCCGGTCGATGTTCACGGAGGCCTATCCGGGAATGTCAAGCCGACGGCACGACGACGACAATATAGAGCAATGGTTTTCAGGATGAAGATGTAAACGATGATGATCATGGTGATTATGGCGATCACCATGTTGATGACGACGATGCCAATGATGATGTTGATGATGAGGATGATGCTGATGCTGACGATGATGATGGTGATGATGATGATGGTGATGGTGTTGAGGATGATTATGGTGTTGATAGTGGTGGTGATGGTGATGATGATGCTGATGATGTTGACGATGATGGTGGCCCTGATGGTGATCAGAAGTATGCTGATGACAATGATGAAACAGAAGATGGCAATGATGATGAACATGGTGCTCATCGTGATGGTGCTGATCATGATGATAATAATGGTGATGATCTGATGATGGTGATGGTGGTGATGATGCTTATGCTGATAATGCTAATGCTGCTGATGATGATGGCGGTGATGATGATGGTGATGATGGTGGTGATGCTGAGCATGATCATTGAGACAACCTCGAAACGCCCAGAGGCGGGACTCCAAGAGACCCCCAGCCTCAACGAGCCGTCCGAAGGCACAATCTGATCCTCTCACACCTCGAGAATGCTCCCAGGGGGTGAGGTCACGTGGTGGCCGGGCCGGGCGGACATGATGATGCGGTCCATTGTGGTCATCGCGATGATGATGTTGGTGTTGAGGATGACGTCGATGATGAAGATAGTGATTATAAGGATGTTGAGGATGCGGATGCTGTTGGTAATGGTGACGGTGATGAAGATGGTAACGATCATCATCGTCATCATCATCATGAAAGCGATGATGCTTCCGACTCCTTCCCCTCAATCGGGCGGCCGCCTCCGAGGCTGCTGAGTGATATTGGCGACAGAGTGCAAGGGAGGACGGATGGAAAGGATGAAGATGATGAGGGATTTGAGTAGTGAGTGGTCTTCCCTTTCTGAGCCTCCAGGCCTTCACATTACCCGCGTTGCTGCGGCTCGACTCGCCGCATTATTGGAAGGTCGAGAGGCGGTCGTTGAGGGAGGAGGAGGATTTTCGGATGCTCTCGGGGTTCCAGATGGTTCTGGGGAAAGAGAACACGGGAGGAAGCGGGACGGCGTAAGAACATAGCGAGATGAGGACGACGAGGAGAAACGGAGGAGGGGGAGAAGGAGAAGAAGGCGAGTTGAGGAGAGCAGGGTAGAGGCGGGGAGGGAGGGGAGGGGCGGAGGGGAGAGTGGGGGAGAAGAGAGAGTTGGAGAGGAGAGAAGACGATACGAGAGGATACCAAACGAGACGAAGCGAAAGGAGGGAGCAGGAAGGGGGAGGAGAGGAGAGGGGAGGAGTCAAGCTAGGTGCGCTCTCAACGAATCTGGCGTCCTACCCCTCCACATTTGCCGTCCCATTGCGCTGTTTGGTTTTATGTCTCCTCCGACGGGTGTCACAGCAGACCTAAAACTCCCAGGAGGACCGCATCGTGTTATGCGCAATCAGGATTCATGGGAAATGTGCACATTGGAGGAGGGGCGACGGATGAGCAGGAGGAAAGGACCAGGAGGAGGAACGAGGAGGACGAGGAGGAACATCAGAAGCACGAGTAGGAGGAGCGGGAGGGTCAGGAGGACCAGGGGCCAGGGGAATGCCGAGAAAAGGGAAGGAGGGGGGCAATATCGACGAGAAAGGGTAATGAGCCATACATGTAGTCGGGGTTGGGGCAAGAGCGCCATTCTGAACGACGGGGGCTGATGTTGCGGCACCCCAAGAAAATTTGAACGCAAACGTATAATCATGTAGACGACAAAGTTTCAATTGTGCGCGTGTAGACAACAATCGTGCCAGAAGAGGGCGGGACACTTTCAGTCGGGAGCCTCGAGACGGGGGTCAATGCAAACGGGGGTCAGCCAGGGCACCGGATGCTGCAGGATCCTGCGAAGACCCCTTCTGGCTTACCCGGGTTAGCGAGCCGCTCGTGGCCGCGAGGCGGCCGCGCATATTGGCTGACCCGGGTTTGCGAAGACCTTCGTTGCAGTTTTTGTTCCCTGCATTGCAGTTTTTGGTTTCCTGCTGACCCGGGTTTGGATTGACCCGGGTCAGAAGATCCCCGATTCAGGCCGCAGTCAGGGGAGAGAGGAGGGAAGCAGTCAGATTGTGCAATTGCAGAGGAAGGAGACTACGAGACGAGGAGAGGGAGGAGAGAGGAAAGGAAGGGGAAGGGAGGGCGGGAGCAAGATCATAAGGATGACCACAATATACCCAACAAGCATCAACGATGTTGCAATGATGGGGCAATGGGGCACCATCGGCGCCGGTCTCCTCATGACCATGAAAGCATACCGGATTTTCGTGGCATTTGTCTCATTGTTCGTGGGACAGTTAGAAGAGTTACCACCCGCGTTCCGGTTCTCGGAGGTCACGGCCTGCCGGAAGCTTTTCCCAGGCCCCAAGGACTGGATGACGGCGGATTGCGCCGGGGAGTTGAAGTCCTTGCTTTTCTCGGAGCAGCTCGCCGACATCCCTTCGACGATTGTCGCGGCGAAGGCCAGGGTCGTGAACTTTGAGGCCCACGAGCCCTCAATATCGGGAGACGGGCAGCAAGGCTGCAGGCTTTGCCTTGTACTTCGGCTTCTGCGCTGGGTCGTTTCTGTTGGTTTTGCGGGCGGCGGGACAACAGTTTCATCCTCAACATCGGGGGGCGTGCCGGGTGAACGCGATTCGTCGTCGATGTCCTGATGACCGTCTCTGGAAGACCGGCTCGGTTGGCAGAAGCGGATGCGGAAATTCGCAGGCCTTCGCCATAGGACATTTCCAGAAAAAAGTTGGACCATTGGTGTATTCCCCTACTTCGTGGTCGACGATTACATCGGGCCCGCCATGTCTTGCAGCTGGTAAGCGGCAGCTGACAACCGCGGATTCGGGCTGCTACCTGCTGACTTTTCCGCAATGGGTGGCGCACGCGATCACGATCCGGTGCTCGTGGCGAGTGCCAGAGGGGTTGCGGTGGCCAAGAGGATCGGGAGAGCGTAAGACCCGGGTTTGCCAGGACTCGGGTTTGCCATCGTTTTTTGACGACCGCGCATCGGATTTTGACGAGGAGGAGTTTCGTGGGATGTCTGCAGCGGGAGGCCTCGTCAAAATGCAGGCTCGGCCTCGTCATTTTTTTGACGATCGCGTCGGGGATTTCCGAGTCCCCTGTGCCCAGGTCTTACGTCCCCCTGAGAGGACTGCGTTCGGCACCTCGCTGGCTGCCCCGCTGTCCGACGTTTGTTCAGCAGGCGCGCGGGCGTCCAGCCGCCCGATCCAGGCTTCGAGCTGGAGGCCTTCCGGGGTTTGGGGGGCCAGTGGCGGCTGCCGGAAGAGGTCCGGCGTGGGGCTCTGGCTGTGCACGATCTGCGCCGGACCCACAACGGCAGGTGGCACGGTCACCTTAGAAGCTTGGGACTTCGATGGGGCGTTTGCCGAGTACCTCCGTGAAGGCCAGCGCGGAGTCGAACATGTGAGCTGGCGGGAGCTTCCTTCGCGTCCCGCTATGGCGGGGCGATTGGGAGGAGACGTTTGCTTGCCGCAGGCGGGATGCCTGTGCCAGGGCGCGTGTGTCCGCACGGGTACAGCAACGCTCCGACTTCAGGCAAGTTGTTTTCTCCTCTTTCTCCTCCCCCTCCCTCCTTCCTCGTCCTCCTCTTTTCCCCGTCTCCCTCCTCGTGTTCTTGTCCCGTTTGGAAGTTTTCGTGGACATTCACGGAACTCGGGTTCAGATACTTACATACTGTTGCCAGTGCGCGCGACGGCTCGCCTATCGCAGGTTGGCCTGAGCGTCGCTCCGCTGGGTGCGTTTCATGTTCTCCGCCGTGCACTGCACGGAACTAGATGATACGAATATGGGCATCCCCTCTGTCTTCCTCCTTTCTCGTCCTCCCCCGTTTTTTTTTTCCGCCCCCGTAATTTTTATGTTTGGACGTATCGGCCTATCCTCGGTTTTAGGCTGGCGCCCGTCAGTGCCTTCGAACGTTGGCGGCGCGCAAGAATTCGCCTGTTTGCAGATTGGCCTGATCGGTGCTCCTTATGTTATGATGTCCTCCTCCTCCTCCTCTTACTCTTTCCTGAGCCGCCGCCGATCGCGGCTAAACGTGATGTTCACATTGTTTGGCTTCCCCGTTCCAAGCGCACAAACGCTCAAGCGTGAAACAAAAAGCGTCTCGATAGGAACCGGCGTTCGCGGCTTAACGCGATGTGAGCATTATGTTGTGAAACAAAATCAACGATGTTGCAAGAAAACCTCCCTCCAAACTATTTCTGCCCAGCCCCCTACAAGATTGCATTTTTATTGTGGAAACTGCCCCGTTGAAAGACAGCCGCATGAGAATCTTCAATCGTGGCAGTCTGCTGTTCTCGAGATTTCAGCGCCGCGAATCAACGTGACATCCAACGTCCTGAAAATATTGACCACTCCACAGCGCCGTGCCTGGGTTCCGCGAATCAACCTGACCGCTGCGTCCTGACATTCGAGCCATGCCGCAATACCATTCCTGGATCTCCATTGCCGCGAATCCTTGAAACTGATGCGAACCGTCAAAAAGAATGCGCGCAGCGCGCAACGCTAAAAACGAGACACGCATTATGAAAAAGACCCCCTCCGATCTTTGAGGCTGTTGCGATATTTCAAGACGAACGTGACGAGGAGGAGAGGGAGGACAGGAACCGGAAACAGGGGGCGGATTTGCAGCAGCAGCAACCCACGCAAGCAGCCCCAAACGCCCGCAGTGGCGTGGAACGAGCAAGAGTCGTCTTTACTCTCACTGTTGTACCATATGGGGAGGAAAGAACCGAAAGAGAGAGAGAGAACAACAACAACAACAACAACAACAACAACAACAACAACAACAACAACAACAACACCAACACCAACAACAACAACAACAACAGCAGCAGCAGCAACAACAACAACAAACAAAACGACGACGACGACGACGACGACGGCGGCGAAGGCGGCGGCGGCGACGACGACGACGACGACGACGCCAACGTCGCCGCCAGGCTCAGGGTTTCGAGCACGCGGCCGTGGCCGCGCTGCAGGGCCTCCCGCCTCAGGACGACCCGCTCCCCTTCTTCTTTGCGCGGGGGCAGCGCAGAGTCGTGTCGTGCCGGCGCGGCGGCGACCCCGGCGACTCCTTCCCTCTTGCTCCTCCTCCTCCTTTTCCTCCTCCTTCTCCTCCACCTTCTCCTCCTCCTCCACCTCCACTTCAACCTCCACCTCCACCTCCAGCACCTCCAGCACATCCTCCTCCTCCTCCTCGTCCTCGTCCTCCTCCTCCTCGGCCTCCTCCACCTCCACACATCCACCTCCACCACCTCCTCCTCCCCCTCCTCCTCCTCCTCTTCCTCCTCCTCCTACTCCTCGTCATCCTCCTCTTCGCTGCGGCGACCCCTCGGCGGGTTGGTGATCGTTTGCTTACTCATTGTGTTGCCGCTCGGCGCGAGGCCTCGCACCCCCCCATGGAGTAGATTTTGGCTGTGTGGGGGCGCCCGTCTCGAGCAGGTGGAGCTTCTTCCCCAGAGGACGCACTTCTGCAAACAGCCGCACTAAGCAGAGGTCCAGAGCCAGACCCCCCGCCCCCCCCGCTCCGCCCGATGTCGAAACGCCGAAGAAGACAACGCTCATTTGCCGATGTCAAACGAGCTGCGCTGGTGGGAAGCCGCGATCGCTCGGCGCCGGCAGGCACCTGCCGCACCAGACGAGACGCTGAGCCGAGGACCGCTTGGGGCCCCTGGGGTGCTCCAACTCGTGGCCGAGCTTCGCCGTGGCCAGAGGAGTTGCTCCGCTCCTTCCATTATCGGGGCCGCACGATGCAAGCAGTGGCGAAGCGTCCCGGCTCGCTTATAGGCCCACCAACGAATGTTCTCAGAACCTGCAGCGCCCCTCGGTGGTGCTCGCCTTATTCGTGGCTCTCATCGTGGCCAGACTCGCGCTAGTCGCCTACCACATGAACTGGAAGCACAAGAGCGGGGTTGGAGACAGGACTGCCGTCAGCCGGCAGCACTTCCTCATGTGCGACCAGCTCCGGGTCCAGGTCACCATCGACCAGCTCGACCTGGCGCCGCTCGTTGGATCGGAGTTCCGCGTCAGGAGGCGGCTACAGATTGAGCGGGCCGTCGAGCGGAATCCCAAGCAGCCCGACTTCGAGAGCCTCGATCATGCAAATGTCGGCCCACGCCCCAGCAGGAGGGGCCGTCGCCGAGAAGTTCAACGAGTGCCTCACCGCCCGCCAGTGCGACCAGGCCCAGATCGTGAAGCAGGGCCGGTTGTTGCGGGAGGAGAGGACCGCCGCCGCCAAGAGGTCCGCCGCGCCGAAGGGCGGGGCGGGCGACAAATGACGGCCCCAGTGCCAGGGCGGCTAGCTGGGCGAGACGGTGGTCGCAGTCGCGCCCTCGTCGGTAGCCGCTCCGAAGAATGCGACCTGCATGGCAGTTTTGGTTTTCGCGGAGGCTGCGGTGGTGAGAAGGACATGGCGACCCCTTCCCCCTGCGGCTGCCGCCCCGCGCCGAGATGGCACGCCCGACGAACCCGTCGCTGGTCCAGCGCCAGCGTCGCCGTGAGTGGCGGGAGTTCCGGGTCAGGGAGTCGCTCACGTCGCTGAATGCGCTCGCCCTGAACTCGGTCGGGAAGGTTACCCTCCCCAAGACAGACGTGACGAAGTCGCTGACGGCCTCTCAGCTTTCTGTCGTACATAGAGCGGGCCTGAGAGTTGCGCCCCTTCCGAGCCCGACCGAAAAGATGTCTGACGACGCAGCCTTGCTTGCGCCTCTCATGACAAAGGACTTGCATGAGATCGAGCAGCACCCCCGCGTCCCGTTTGGCTTCGACATGGTCAGGATCCCCCACCGGGACATCAAGCCGAGCCCGCTCTTGGACAAGCTCACCGGGGAGGCCGCGAGCGCCCGTTCACCGAGGACTGTGCTGAACTCGACAGCGGGGAGCTCCAGGCCGTGCGACCGTTTTGGACGAGAAGCTGCGCTGCCATTGGGGTATGCGGCCCCGTTTCCTGAGGCGGCTCACTGACGTGGGCCTGGGGGCGCTGCGACGCCACATTCGTGGGCAAAGTAACGGTTTCTTCACCGTTGGGAAGAAGGGCGGTATACAGAGGCTCGTCTGCGACGCCCGCGTGCAGAATCCGCTCCACCGGAAGGCGCCGAAGGCACGCCTCGGCACGCCCGCGGCCGTCGCGCCGCTCGACCTGTCCGAGGTGGCGCGCGGGGTTCCTGACGCGTTGGCGTGCGAGGCCGGCCTGCCCCATGCCGCTACGGTGGACCTCGCCGTCTCTTTCTACCAGTTTACCGTGGAGGGGGGTTGCGAATGGTTCGGCGTGGACTTCCCCGAGGGCGCCGCCGCGTGGGGCGTCGACTCCGCCCTCGGCCCGGGAACTGGCGTCCTCGAGGCCGTCTTGCCGGACGACCGCTGCTCTTCTGCGTCATGGGGCTCTCCGTGGGCTGGACGTTCGCGCCGCGCTTCTGCCGGTCGGTGATGGCGCAGCACGCATCGGCCGCGATGGAGGAGGTCGGAGGGCATGGCGCCCTCATTGCTAATCGAGCGGCCCCGCCCCAGGTCACGGACTCGGCGCCCGTCGCCGCCGTCTACGTTGACGACGCTACCATCATCGGCAACACGCGCCGCGACGCCGAGATCGGGTTTGCCGCGGTGCCGCGGGCGCCCCCGAAGGCCGGCTTGGCGGGCGCGCCGCGAGGTCGTCGAGGCCAGTCCCGTCGCCGAGTCGGCGGGGCTCGAGCTGCGGCTGGGCCGCGAGGGCGTGGTGCGGCACACGCGCAAGAGGGCGTGGCGGCCGTGCCAGGCGCTCCGCGTTTTCTCGGCACGGCGCGGGCGCACTGCCCGCGCGATGGAGCGCATCGTGGGGCACTTGGTCAACTACTTCGGGCCGTGGTCGGAGGGCATGAGCGCCACGGGCCGCGTCTAACGTTTCTTGGAGAAGCACGCGGACCAAGATTGCGGGCTCTTCGACCACGACCTCCAGAACGAGCTCGCGATCTTGCGTGGCCTCATCTTCGTGGCCGGCGAGGTCTCGATCATGCCGAAGCATGTCCCGATCACCTCCCTCATAGACTCCAGCTCGAAGGGCCACGCGCCGCCCTGCGCCGAGGTCAGCCGCGCCGAGGTCGTCGACGCCACCGAGGTCAAGGAGCGCTGGCGCTTCGTCGTGGAGACCGAGGCCCTCGGCGACGGCACTGGCCGCGCCGACGACCCGGGCTGGGCGGCTCCGTCTGGCGGGCACTGGGGCTCGGACTTGCTCGCCAGGGCCAAGCGCCAGACGACGTTGCCTCGCGCGGGCGCCAGCGCTGGGTGGAGTCGAGGCCCGAGGTGGAGATTGACCCGCCCTTCGTGCCGCTTGGGCTCGAGCGGGAGGACGCCAGCTGACTGCGCCTTCTCCTCCGCGGCGCATGGCGCTACCGAGCGGTCATCCACGAGAAGGAGGCTCGCGTGGAGCTCATGGGCCTGCGGAGGGCCCGCCGCTCCGTCGGGCATCGCGGGGCCGCGCTGCTGCCCGTCGGGGGCGACGCGGCCAGCGTGCTCGAAGGGCGGGCGCCCGACCCGGCCCCCCGGGGGCTGGCGGCGCGCTCGGCGGCCCACCGCCCGGGCTGCGAGGCGCGATGGCGCCAGAGGCGCATCGAGTCGAAGCGCGGCAGCACGAGCAGGGACAGCCGCGCCATTGACAGGGGCGAGCTGCGGGCGGGCGAGGCGCAGCGCGGGCCAGGTCTGAGAGAGCTCGCGCGCGTCGCCTCCAGCCGGGGGGCCGCGTTCTCGACCCCAACTTTTTCATTATTGTGTTGTTCTTCTTCTTCTAAAAATGCCACGTCTTTTACCGCGCACACAGAGATCGGTTCGTCTTCGATTCTGAAACGCTTTGACCTCTCGCCCGTCATGTCGGCGCAGCGCGCGGCCCGCGCGGTTGTCAGCGCGGCGGCGAGACCGAGGTCCGAGACCTAGCCCCTCGCCATGGAGGGATGCCCCAACAAATATTCATCGGCTGCGCCGTCCGATTCGCCTGCATCGAGGTCCACGGGGAAACGGACGGGGGCCCGAGCTGGGGCCCGAGCCATCGGCGACTTCGACGTGCCTCTGGGCCCCGCGGGCTCCTGGGAGCTCTACGAGGGCGCCGCGCCCGCCACTGGGGCTGCCGGCGGGCCGCCGGCCGCGGGTGAGGCGCGCCTGGCGGGGGGCTCGCGGACCGCCGCCGCCCGGCGCGGTCGCGCAGCCGTTCTTCGCCGGCAGCGCGGGCGCCCGGCCTCCGATCAGCCGCTGAGGGCGGCCTCGGTTAGTGCGCGCCAGGCCGAGCTCTACCGCCGGCACTCCCGCGTCTGCAGGGGGCGGGCCGAGGGCAGGTGTGACCTCTTCAACGAGCACGGTCTCGACGTCACCTTCGAGCTGTTTTTCGACCACCTCTACCAGGACGGCCACTACTTTTTTCGCGCCCGCCAGGCTCTGTGTGGCTACGCTTTCGCGCACGACCTCTCGGTCGCCAAGTCGGACTTCCCCTGTGCGCGCCGGGCGCCGCGCGGCCTTGAGCGGCAGGCGCCAGGCCGCGAGCGCGACCCCGCGCCGCGGGGCGCGCGCCAGCTGATCAGCGCCGACCTCCTGGACAGCGGCCGCGCGCTGGAGGTGCAGCACGCCGGCGCCGCCCTCGTGCTGCAGTTTGACCTGCGCCAGGCCGTCGGAGGTGCTCGAGCTCATGGGGTCGCCCATCGTCTTGGGCCACGCCTCGCAGCCGTCGGGCGTCATCATCAGACCGGCCGACGACGTGGACGAGGGCTCGGCCATCGACCAGGCTCGCGCTCGCGCTGGGCTCCAGCGCGCGCGGCCGGCGAAGTTCGGTCGTTTTGACGGGGCGGCCTTGGTGGGCGAGAAGGCCAGTGAACTGGCGGGCCGCGGTGTAGTGCATCATCTTGCGAAGGCCCTCGAGCGCTCTCGCCAGCCGGGCCAGAAGCTTTTCCCCATCTACCTAGCCACGTTCGAGAAGCAGGCGTCGCTCGCAGCCAACCGCTTTCGGCTGCAGAGGCCACGGCTTACTCCGCACTCGGCGAGGCACGGTGGCCCCAGCGAGGACTGCTACAGGAACTTCAGAGACATCGCAGCAATCCAAAGTCGCGGTAGATGGGCGCACCCACGCAGCGTTGCCAGATATCGGGGGCCCGGCAAACTCTTGCGCCAGAAAAAATATTTTCTTAATAACAAAGAAAAACTGGATCCGCTCGTCGCTGCCGTTCGCCGTTCCGAGCTGGCCCTGGAAAGCCGGCTACTTCGCTAGTGCTCGTACCAGGGCTAAGCAGTTCGCGACTCTTGCTCACGCAGTATGGGAAGTGTGCAGCCCCAGGTCCCGCCGCCCAAGGTAGACTGCGTCTCGCTGTTGGACCGCCTGGGACTCTCGCCTCGCCGGCTCTGCGCGCGCGCTGCTCGGCCCCAGGCCTTTGGATTGCACTCGGCGTTGTGAGACATTGTCGACGCGCCTTGCGTTTGGACGCCCCCGGCAGAAAGTGGAGAGCTCATCTTCTGTCCGGCGGGCGCGGAGGCTGCAGCGGGATTTTTGAACAATCCACGATGGCGATACATGTTGTTGCATCTGAGCCTACCGTGCGCGAAGAAATGTTATCCTACATGCTCAATCAAGGTGAAATCACATGTGCAGCGGCTGCTCGGGCACAGATGGGCCCAGGCAATTCATGGATAGACTGCCCCCCGGGCGCTAGTGCAGAAACTGCCTGGGGCCACCCCGCTCCATCTTCACTTTGCAGCAGGTAGTGTTCTTCGCAATCGTTCGTGCGCAAGTCACCCTTACACGCCGCGCCCAATGCCTGATTCTGTCTTGCGAGTTTTGTTTGAAATACTTTCTTGAACCTCTGGGAGGTGCGCAGCCCCAGGTCCGGCCGCTCAAGGTCGACTGCCTCTCGCTGTTGGACCGCCTGGGGCTCGCCTCGCCGGCTCTGCGCGCGCGCTGCTCTGCCCCAGGCCTTCGGACTGCACTCAGCGTTGTGAGATGTGGTCGACGCGTCTTGCGCGCGGACGCCCCTGGCAGAAAGTGGAGAGCTCATATTCTGTCTGGTAGGCGCGGAGGCTGCAGTGGGATCTATGTGTATGTATATATACACATATTTTCACGCATATACGTGTGTATATACATATATATATATGTATATATATATATATGTATATACGGCACCCGCTATTGGGACCGACCTCATCCCATATGTTTTTGCCCCCTCGTCTATGCGTTTCCTATCGACCGCGATGTTTGTGTTGTTTGGGGAAAGTCACAAGGATACGCGGTAGCATGTCGGGTTTGATTGGCGTGGTTCCTATCGATTCTGATTTCCCCGGCTGCGTAAGAATGACCGCGCAAATCGCGAACAGAAGGACGTTCGTAACATGGGGCAGGGTCGAGAAAAAAAAGTACCCCAGTGCGACCCTACCTAGGAGTTGGAGCCCCTAGGAAGGCATCATTATTAGTAGTAACAGAAAAACTAAGCTAAAGCTAAGCTAAAGCTAAGCTAAAACTAAGCTCCAGATAAGCTAAAGCTAAACTAAAGCTAGGCTCAAACTAAGATAAAGCTAAGCTAAAGCTGAGCTAATAAAGCTAAGCTAAAACTAAGCTAACGCTAAGCTAGAGCTAGGCTAAAGCCAAGCTAGAGATGAGCTTAAGCTAAGCTAAAGCTAAGCTGAAGCTAAGCTAAAGCTAAGCTGAAGCTAAGCTAGAGCTAAGCTAAAGCTAAACTGAAACAAAACTGACGCTAAGCTAGAGCTAGGCTAAAGCTAAGCTGGAGCTTAGCTGAATCTAAGCTAAAGCTAAGCTGGAGCTAAGCTAAAGCTTAGCTCAAGCTAAGCTAGAGCTAAGCTAAAGCTAAGCTAAAGCTAAGCTGAAGCTAAGCTAACGCTAAGCAGCTAAGCTAAAACTAAGCTCAAGCTAAGCTAGAGCTAAGCTCAAGCTTAACTAGAGCTAAGCTGAAGCTAAGCTAACGCTAAGCTAGAGCTAAGCTAAAGCTAAGCTAAAGCTAAGCTGCAGCTAAGCCAGAGCTAAGCTAAAGCTAAGCTAGAGCTAAGCTGAAGCTAAGCTGAAGCTAAGGTAGAGCTAAGCTAGAGCTAAGCTGAAGCTACGCTGAAGCTAGACTAAAGCTAAGTTCAAGCTAAGCTGAAGCTAAGCTAAAGCTAAGCTGAAGCGCTAAGCTGAAGCTAAGCTGAAGCTAAGCTGAAGCTAAGCTAAGCTGGGCGAACCCAGGGGGCGCAACTGGGGAAACCGCGGGGCGGGGACTGGGGGAACCGCCCGGGGCGGTTTCCATTGCCCGGCCCCTTTAAGCTAAGAGAGTAAGAACCTTTCTAGGCAGAGCCTAGGTAGGGAACAACAAAAACAAATAGTTCTTTCTTTTGTGACAACTATGTTCAAGTATTATGTCTACCCCAGCCCCCACCTCCGCCAGGAACATACGACCCAACAACAGGTTATGTCGTTGTTGTCGTTTCGTTCGGGTTCCTCCCAAGCTTGTTCCGACTCCCTGAGTTGTACATTCGGAATCCAGTGTTGGGGATGTACATGTTGATTCTTAGCATGCGGCTTGGAAATGAATTAATCGCTTCGCACATCCCGCCGCTCCGTATTGTGCCATCGTTGGCGTTTGCGCGCGCGTTCGTGAGCCATGCGGCGCTGCCGGGCGGCTTTTGCTGCGATTGTGGGAGAGAGTGTCCGTGGATGCTTTTTGATTTTTGTTGCAGAGGGTTCTCAGGGGGCTCCTGTGTAACAATATTAGGAGCTCTTGGAAGCCTCCTGGGGGCGCCTTGGATGCCTCTTGGGGCTCTCTTGGCGCTTCTTGGGGGCCTCCTGGGCCATCTTGGGGGGCTCTTGGGGGCCGCTTCGGGCAGCCTGGACGCCTCTTGGGAACGAAGCCTCGAAATGCCCGTTCGGCTTCCTCATCCTGGGCCCCGTCGTGGGGCCATCCTGGGGCTCTTTGTGTCCGTCTTGGAGGTATCTGGGGCCATCCGGAGGGCTCTGGGGCCGTGGTGGGGTTCTCTCTGAGACCTCTGAGGCCGTCGTGGGGTGATCTTAGGGGCCTCCGGGGCGGTTTTCGGGCTCCCTTGGGGGCTTTCTGGGCCGTCTTGGAGCGACCTCTAGGGCCTCGCTTCCGTGGAGGGGACCACCCGGGGACCGCCCAGGATTTGCATGGGCCGGGGCTACTTTTCGTCCAGGGCCCCCAGGGGCAGCCACGCGCGCGCGATCTAGAAGGCAGGAAGGAGACTTCAGCACGCCTTTGGCCCGTGGGGCCAGCGATTTTTCGTCGTTCGATTTCCAATGGGAGTCCTATTGTGGTGGATAAGCAAATTGATTCCGCTTGCGTGCATTACAGAAAACCTTCATGCGCGGCCCGTGGTCCAGAAAGAACACCGACCCTCTTCTCCATGTGTTCTCCCCTCGTAGGAAGTTGACGACGACGAAGACGACTCCGACGAAGACGACGACGATCACGACGAGGACCACCACGACGACGCTCTCGACGACGAAGGCGACGACGACGATGACGACTTCGACGCTGCCAACGACCGCGGCGACGACGAGCACTACCACTACGACCACAGCCACGACCACGACCACGACGACGATGACGACGACGACGACGAACGCAGGACCGCGACCTCCTCGCGGCCGAGCTAGCGAGGACGGGGCTGCGGGCACAGTTCGTCCGCGCCCCGGCCGACGTGGCCGAGCGGCCAGTCGGCCCGGCGCTGCTGGTGTACTACGCCCCCGCGCTGATCCAGACAGCAGGCCTGGCTCCCGCCGATTTCGAGGGTGAATAGGTGAGCGAAGAGTGGCATTGCACCACATATATGGCACAACATACATTGCACCACGCATATTGCACCGCACAGCTTGCACCACATAGTTGGCACCGTACAATTTGCACGACATGTATGTTGTGGCATCTACGTGGTGCAATATATGAGGTACAACCTATGTAGTGCAACTAATTTCTGTTCGCAGTGAGTTGTCCACTCCACTGCTCGCGCAAACATCCCACCCACCCACCCGCAACTTGGTTTGCAAAATCTCTGAAGACCGTGACGGTGGGTACCACATGGCACTTGGCAACAACAGCGACGCCGACGACGACAGCTACAACGACGATGACGACGCCGCCGACAACGACTACGACGACACCGACGACGTCTCCAACGACTTCGACGACGCCGACAACGACGACGACGACGACGACACCGACGCCGACGACGACGACACCGACGCCGACGACGACGACGATGACAACGACGACGACGATGACGACGACGACGACGACGGTAACGACGACACCGACGACGACGACGACGTCAACGACGCCGACGACGACGACGACGACGACGACGGCGGCGACGACGACGACGCCGACCGACGACGACGACGAAGACGACAACGACGCCGACGCCGACGACGACGACGACGAAGACGACGACGACGTCGCCAACGAAGACAACGAGGAAGGAGGGAGGACGACGACGGCGACAACGACGACAACGACGAGGGAGGAGGGAGGACGGCGACGACGCGAACGACGAAGAAGGAGGAACGACGGCGACGCCGACGACGGCAACGACGAGGGAGGAGGGGACGACGACGACGACGACGACGACGACGACGACGACGACGACGACGGCGACGAAATAGGAGGGACGACGACGAGACGCCGACGACGGACGACGACGACGACGAGGGAGGAGGAGGACGACCACGGCGACAACGACGACGGAAACGACCACGACGCCAAAGAGGACGACGACGACGAACACGAGGAAAGACAGAGGACGACGTAGGCGACGACGACGACGACGACGACGACAACGACGCGGGAGGAGGGAGGACGGCGACGACGACGACGACGACGACGCAAGAGCGCGCGCGCACGCTTTTGTTGAAAATCCGTGTTGCGAAACCTTGTGGTTTTGTAGGTTTTTTGGACACACGATTTTGAAATCCTTCCGAAACCGATGGGTTTTGAAGGTTTTCGGCATACGCGCGCGACGACGCGCGCGACGACGCGCGCGTCTGCACTTCGTCTTATTTTAGCAGGGGGTTCTCGCGACGGCACGCGCGCAAGGGCGTTCGACAGATTCCGACATGCGCGCGCGCGAAGCCCGTTTGGTAGCATTTTGTGAAAATCTTGGAAGACCTATGGTTTTCTGAATATTTCGCAAGAGTTTTCGCGGAAGCTGTTTTAGCAATTCTTTGTTGCGAAACCTTGTGTTTTGTATGTTTTTTGAAAATTCGATTGCGAAATCCTTCCGGCACCGAAGGTTCTTAAAGGATTCCGGCATGCGCGCGCGACGACGCTCGCTTGTGCACTTCGTTTCGTTTTTTGCAAAGGATTCGTGAAAAAATGCGATGTTAAAACAAAAAATGTCACCGCATAGTGTTTTTTTCTAGGCAACCTCAGGGGGGGGAAACGGGCCTAGTTGGGATGGTACGGCTTCATATTTAGGATGGACGAGTGTGCAGAATATAAATGAAATGGTATTATCCCAGGGGGAACCGATAAGTGCAGGGGGGGTAGAGTCTACTTTCCTTTTAAAAAGGAGAAGAATTTATGTGGTGCAACCTGCGCTGTGCAATCTACGTGGTGCAATCTATGTGGTAAGCTTATGTGGTGTAAGCTACTGGGGTGAAATAACCTTGACCGTCTTGAAGCTGTCCTCTCCACTGCTCGTGCAAACATCCCACCCTCCCACCCGCAACTTGGTCGCAAGACCTCTTCAGACAAGACCGTGACGGTAGGTACCACATGGCACTTGGCCACGACACCGATGCCGACGACGACAGCGACATTGACGACGACGGCGCCGCCGACAGCGACTGCGACGACACCGACGACGTCCCCAATTTTTTCGACGGCGACAACGACGACGACGACACCGACGACGACGACAACGACGCCGACGACGACGACGAAGACGACGACGACGTCGCCAACGGAGACGACGACGAGGGAGGAGAAAAAACGACGACGGCGACAACGACGACAACGACGATGGAGGAGGGAAGACGGCGACGACGCCAACGACGAAGAAGGAGGAAGGACGGCGACGCCGACGACGACAACGACGAGGGAGGAGGGAAGACGACGACGATGACAACGACGACGAAGACGACGACGACGGCGACGAAATGAAAGGACGACGACGAGACGCCGACGACGGACGACGACGACGAGGGAGGAGGATAACGACGAGGGAGGAGTGAAACACGACGACGACGACGACGACGACGGCGACGAAATAGGAGGGACAACGACGAGACGCCGACGAAGACAACGAGGGAGGAAGGACGACCACGGCGACAACGACGACGGAAACGACGACGACGCCAAGACGACGACAACGACGACGAGGAAAGACAGAAGACGACGACGGCGACGACGACGACGACGACGAGGGAGGAGGGAGGACGACGACGACGACGACGACGCAAGAGCGCGCGCGCACGCTTTTGTTGAAAATCCGTGTTGCGAAACCTTGGGTTCTTGTAGGTTTTTTGGACACACGATTTTGAAATCCTTCCGAAACCGATGGTTTTTGAAGGATTTCAGCATACGCCCGCGACGACGCGCGCGTCTGCACTTTGTCCCATTTTTTTGCAGAGGATTCTCGCGACGGCACACGCGCAAGGGCGTTCGACAGATTTCGACATGCGCGCGCGCGAAGCCCGTTTGGTAGCATATTGTGAAAATCTTGGAAAACCTATGGTTTTCTTAAGATTTCGCAAGACCTCGCGCGGAAGTTTTTTTAGCAACTCAGTGTTGCGAAACCATGTGTTTTTGTATGGTTTTGGGAAACTCGATTGCGAAATCCTTCCGGCACCGAAGGTTTTTGAAGGATTCCGGCATGCGCGCGCGACGACGCGCGCGTGCGCACTTCGTCCAATGTTTTGCAAGGGATTCGCCAAAAAGTGCTATGTTAGAACAAAAAATGTCACCGCATAGTGTTTTTTACATGGGAACCGCAGGGGGGGAACCCGGCTTGGCTGGGATAGTATGAGTTCATATTTAGGATGGACATGTGGTCAGAATCGTATGTAATTTACAGCACGCGCGGGGGTCCCGATAAGTCCGGGGGGGGGGGGTAGAATCTGTTAGTCTTTCAGAAAGGAGAGTATATGTGTTGTAAGCCATGTGGTGCAGCCATTATTACTTCATGTGAGACGCAAGGCAAAGCAATGCAGAGCATTGCGAAGCAATGCAAAGCAACGCAGCGCAATGCGAATGCAAAGAGGGTAGCGACGAGGCGGCGACGGCGGCGACATGGTAGCCCACAAGCCCAAGCGACGAGGCGGCGCCGGCGGCCACATGTCGGCCAGAGCGGCCCGCAGGTCCAGGCGACGGGCGGCGACGAGGCGGCGACGGCGGCCACACAGCGGCCAGAGCGGCCCGCAGGTCCAGTTTTTTTGAAGACAAACAGAGTGAAACGACTGCTTGGGGTGCACCATTTCTTTTGGGTCGATGTGGTTCAATTGGTGCAAACCGATGTGATGCGATGCGAAGTCACGCACAGTAGTACTACAAAATAGCGTAGGCCCAGATGACGGCGAGGCGGCGCCGCCGACCACCTCGCCGCCAGGCCGACGGGCAGGCCCAGAGCGACGGGGCGTCGACGGCGACTACATTGCCGCCAGACCGACGGGCAAACCTAGAAGACGGGCGGCGACGAGGCGGAGATGGGGCGGCGACGGTGATCACACAGCCGCCACATCGATGGGCAGTCACTGTGCATGGGAAAAGAGGTAGGATCCCCTCACTGCAAGCACTATTCTGGGAATAAGGTAGACGTATACATATGTTTAAGTCCGGCCTGCTCCTCTACAGGGGAAGTAACCAAACACTGTCCAGAAATAGTAGGGGAACGATTTTGTTTGTACAATTTTTGGTAATTTTTCGGGTATGCTTTGATTTTTTATTCGTCGTCCAAAATCCGCCGGTAGGGGGACATGCCCGATCGAAACATATGTACATGTATCGTCGCCGACGGTGATGGGCGTGGAGTTGACTCCCGCTGGTTCTTGAACGCTGTCTTGCCTCGGGAGGCTGTCCAGCAGTTGCGCCGCGTGCGTATTCCCCTTCCCGCACGGCCACCGAAGTCAGAGCTATAACCCGAAAACATGTACACGTCGTGAGAAAAAATGATCACTACGGAATGTGTTTGGCCGTGTTCGTCTTCTGGGGACCCTCACCGAGCCCAGGGCTGCGAAATCACGACTCGTGGTGAACATCTGGCCCCTGGGAAAAGGTTCAGACCTCTGCGGAGCCACTTGAACAAAAAACGCGACGTCGGATGTCGGGATTGCGGGGACAGCGAAGTGTTTACCGTCTCCGATATCCCCAGGCATCCGACGTGGGGGTGAAGGCGAGGGAAGACGAGGACTGGGGAGGGCGGCTGTCAGGGCCAGGGCCACGGAATCGCCCGGATTACGTATGGCCCCCTACCTGCCCCTCCCCCACCCCCTGGCGCCCCACCCCCACCCCCCTGTCACCCTACCGTATAGCTCACGCGCTTGGGGTCGTCTTTAAGGGAATACCGTTGACGCGTCTGCTGTCCAGAGTCTCCAGTCGTTGTTCGACTCCAACAGTATAGCCAGTTGACGTCCCATTCCCGATGCCGCAGGTACGCTGCCGCTCAGCGTGCCAGGGTCACCGAGCCCTTGTCGTGAAAATCTGGTTTTTGCCCTGGGCGTGCCATCGCCGCCTTGATGATTCTGCGGGGGTCCTCCACGCGGGTCGGCTTGTG